GGTCTACTCTTGCTTCCTATATTCTTATAAACTATTCAATTTTCCAATATTCACTCTGACCAGATATTTCTGTACATGAGAGCTCAGAGTTAGGAAATTCATTTTAACAAAGATGCATTTATCAAAGATTTAAGGCTAAAGGGATATATAAACTATTTGTGTAACCTCACTGAACATTACCATATTTCAATTATACAGAACTTTAGGACACTAGAACATTTCAAAGTGCTTCATACAGTAAATTAATTTTGGGAATACAGTAATGATAAGGTCCTGGGGAGTGCTGCTGAACAAAGAGATCTTGGAGTGCAGTTCATAGTTACTTGGAAGTGGAGTCCCAGGTAGATAGGATAGTGAAGAAGGTGTTTGGTATGATTGCCCTTATTGGTTAGCATATTGAGCGTAGGAGTTGGGAGGTCATGTTGCGGCTGTACAGGACACTGGTTAGGCCACTTTTGGAATACTGCATTCAATTCTGATCTCCCTGTTATAGGAAGGATGTTGCGAGACTTGAAAGGGTTCAGAAAAGAGTTACAAGGACGTTGCCGGGATTGGAGGGTTTGAGCCGTATGGAGTGGCCGAATAGGATGGGGCTATTTTCCCTGGCGTGTCGGAGGGTGAGAGGTGACCTTACAGAGGTTTATAAAATCATGAGGGGCATGGATATGGTGAATAGACAAGGTCTTTTCCCTGGGGTGGGGAGTCCAAAACTAGAGGGCATAGATTTAAGGTGAGAGGGGAAGAATTTAAAAGGGACCTAAAAAGCAACTTTTTCCTCGCAGAGGGTGGTGCATGTATGGAATGAATTGCCAGGAGAAGTGGTGGAGATTGGTACAATTACACATTTAAAAGGCACCTGGATGGGAATACGAATAGCAAGGGTTTAGAGGGATATTGGCCAAATGAGACTAGATTAATTTAGGATTTCTGGTTGGCATGGACGAGTTGGACCGCAGAGTCTGTTTCTGTAGTGTATGACTCTATGGCTGTATGACTGTTGTTCTACGGACAGACAAGACAATCATTTCCCACATACGATCATAAAATGAATGACTGCTCTGTACTTTCATTTCACTAGTGGTACTGGTGGAAAGAGAAATGTTAACCAGGACATTGGAACAACTTTGCTTGATTTAAAAAGGCATGGTGTTCCTTTAATATCCATCTGAAACAGTGAAAGATTCAGTTTAGCATTTCAGTCGATGGATAATACTTTAGAAAAAGCAGCAGTGCCTTGGTGTTGCATGAGAGTCAACTCTGCAGTTTTAGTCTTCACAGACAGGCAGTTTATGATGGACAAAAAAATGCTACCAAGCTGACACAGCAACAGAAAGTTGCTCATACTTTGTACTAGTTTGATTATTTCTAAAGAGAAAACAGAGCAATAGAGGGTCTTTGGAAATTTTTTCTTGCATCTGTGCCTAAGTACGATCGGTCTAACATCCAGATATTTTCTCTTATCAACATATTCAGACAAGTTATGACAATACCCCTGGAGAAGGTGAGACTTGAACCCAGCTCACATGCATGGACACTACCACTGTGCCATAAGAGGCCCTTCAGCCGGTCATTTATTTTTTCTAATCAAACTGTTCAGAGATGCTGTTGCACACCTCAGGATTAGGTGTGATTTGAACCCAAGTCTCTTGGTCCAGAAGCAGGGACACTACCACTTTGCCACAAGGGTCCCCTCCAACGCAGTCAATATTCTGTACATTCATTGTCTCCAGGTGACCTAACACATTAGGGCACAAACCCAAACAGGCTGAAGTCATCTGATAATTAACCAGGAATCATAATAAAGGCTCTTTCAGTTAAAACTGTTGATGATTACTCACGAAAATAAACATGTCTCTCATTTTTAGAATATCGTTGTGAATCTTTAAGGAAATCTCCTTCATTATTCAGTCTCTAACACACTCTGAACACTATGATTACAAAGGCCATTGAAGAGAAGTTAAAATTGTTATTTTATTGCTGGTTTTCAAAGATCGTGGCTGGACATCTTGCCCATTTCATTGAAGAACCAGCAATCATGTCTACATAAACAGAACAAGGACAAAGATAATGTTGTGTTAGAAAGTAGCTTTTCATCAATGCTATATTAAGCAACAGTATCCTTTAGTTTCAAGGAATGAAGCATATTTTCAAAACAAGCTTTATAAAGACAGTTCAGTAATCGTTCTACATAATGCCTGACTCTTTCAGATCGACAAATTTCCTTAGGATCCTGTAGTGGTGGCTGCCCCATTGGTTTGACAGTTCTGGTCATGAATCTTGAAAACATGCATTTTATGCTTTCTTGTTGACATAATGGCCCATTGTGATAATCAACGCAATTGATAAGATCTTCTGCAAAAGCTGTTTGAACAAATTTATTGTCAGTATGCAACAGAAAATTCCAACAGAATTGAGCTGCCAGAGGAAGTGGTGGAGGCTGGTACAATGACAATTAAAAGGCATCTGAATGGGTATATGAATGGGCAGGGTTTAGAGGGATATCGGCCTAATGCTGGCAAATGGGACTAGATTAATCTAGGATATCTGGTCGGCACGGACGAGTTGGACCAAAGGGTCTATTTCCACGCTGTACAGCTCTATGACTCTAATTTAGCAGTATTGACATTTAAAAGATCAACCCAACCATTATCTGTCACCTTGGTTTTAGATATTAATTGTTACTTCAAATGAATAGTAATCTCTACAATGCAAATGAGTTGTGGTCTGCCTCCATGCTGTCATGCAATTTTGCATTTGTCATTGCACTCAACTAAGAATATCTCAGGACTTTAAAATCAGCTCTCTACTCTTTCTCATCCAAATACTCCCCCTTGGAGGCATCATTTGTAAACACAATGTTCAGTTTAAAAATACATGCTGAATACAGCACTCAGCTCTATTTTTCCACTAGAACATAATCCTTCTACTGCCGCTGTGTTGTCAGATTGATTGCCTGATATTTAGTCATGAATGAGCCACAAACTGTTCCAGTTAAATGTTGGGACGGCCAAAACTATCTTCTTTGGTCTTTGCCTCTTAGACTTGCACCCTCACCACTGATTTCCTCCCCTCCCCAGCCGCTGTTACAGGTTGAATCATAGACTCAAAGTCCTATTGTTCTGGACCAGACCATATCCCCTCAAAATATTTTAGGAAGGTAGCCTAGATCCGAACTCTTTCTTTATTTCAAAGGCAAATGTGAAGTGTCTGCTCAGATGCAACACAACTAGTCAAACAAGTCAATGTTAAGTAAAACACAATTTATTTAAACACTATAGTTAAAATACAAACAAAGGATGAGGAATTTAGATTAACTTAACTCTATAGCTTCACCCTAAGCTATGCATCTGATCTGTTACACACTCTGTTGCCAACATCTTTACTTTGGGTTCCACAAAATCAACTGGCCCTGTCCCTGTAATGGCGTGTATGCCTTTGTCACTCCAGACCGGACTATTCCGAAGTGTCCTCAGTTAGTCTTTCATCCTTTATCGTCTATTTTAGCTCTACTTCCTGCATACTATCTTGCAACAAATCCCAATCAACCCATCATCCCTGAACATTGAACACATCGCATTTAACCCATCCATGGTTTTGATGTTCCCTATCTTTTCCCAGCCCTCCAATATCCATAGAACAGTCTTCCTGACTCCGGTTTTTTCTCCATGATTTCAGCCGAACCCATCCCAGGCTTTCAGAGAGGTAAAGTGAAAACTAATCAGTTAATAGTGTTCTTCATGTACATATTAAGCTTGAAAATGTAGGATTGTGACATTAAAAGGAGAGAGAAAAGGTGTAGATTTTTGCATTTTACTTGACATTTTCCAGTTTTAACAGTAGTATTCACCAAGATAAATGCTAATGATGGAATTGAACTTTTAAATATTTCTCTTTTAAATTTGGAGGAATGTAGGAAATAGAAGCAGGACTATGCTTTTTGGCCGCCTCATGCCTGTGCTGCCATTCAACTAGATCATAGCTGATCTTCTATCGCAACACGATTTTCCTGTATTATCCCCATATCCACATCTTTAATATATAGATATCTACAATATTTTTAACATCTGTTATTGGTATGTCAGTGATGTAGGATAGGTCTAATTTATTGTTTATCCCTGGTCTTCCGGCAAAGGTGCTGAAGTGCCTTCTCCTGGAGCTGTCGTGGCACACCTGCAACAGGAAATTTCAAGATACTGACCCCTTAACAAATGGAACAGCATGCTTAGATATGAGGGGGAAGTTTACATCCCTACTGTTGAAACTCAACCATTTCTAGGCCTCACACCTTCTACAATTTTTGACCAAAATGAACACCTCGTTGTCTTACGTTGTTGAATCCCAGGCATTCTCTGCAGGTGGTGGACTGCTTCCTATGTAATTTCATTTGAGGATACCTCTAAATTTTACGTATATAAACAAGCCTCCCATTGAATCTGGATCAGAGCTACAGCAGCAGAATCGGAGACATCCGGAGACATTTCAGTTCCCGTGTCTTAAGAGAGGAATGGCATTGACCACACCAGTCTGATCTTTCCATTTCTCACACTCTTTACAACCTCTGGAAGTGACTGAGCTAGCACGGAGACAACTCGCTTCAGGTTCTGGAGGGCTCTTTGCTTAGAGACTGTACCTTAACAGGTGCTGCATTCAGACTTCCTAAACATCTGTGAGTTAAGACAAGTACAGAGAATGGAGGTCAGGTTGATTATTTCATCAAATCAGTAGGGATCAGCTGCTGTTTACCTGGCAGCCATTTTCATATAAGTTTGGAAAAAATATCCTGTGGAGCAGAGTTGATTTCAACTTAGATCCCAAAAGTGTCTGAGCCATTGCTCTAACCCCTCACATCTTGTCCTTCACCCATTATTCTAATATAATGTCATAAGTGAAAAATAAACAGAGATTTCAAATGTAGTTCCACAGACAAGTGAGAATTTTCTGAAAGTTGATTTGTTAAGCATACATCACACATTTGGAGACAAATAAAAATTTCCACTTACGAATTTGCTCCACTAATTTTAGCATGACGCCTCCAACATGAAAGTCCCCTGTTACTCTCAAATTAAACTCCAAAGGTGTATCTTCATTTGGCTGATCCACCTGAACATTAAGTTCCCATGAAGAGGCTCCACAATCATTTGAGGATGACATCTTGTCAGGATTAATTCCAGCTCTATTAATGAAAAATGTACAAAATTTACTAAGGTTAACATTTCAATTCTTAGTGATCATCTGCACAGCAAGAGATTTCACCTAGCCTGTTAGGGCTGCCCATGACTCAGCAGCACAAAATGGTTAACAGCAGGCCCATGGCTAATGCAGCAGAACATGGTCGACAGTAGTTAGAGACCTTGGGAAAATATTTGCTTAATGTAGTCTTCACAAGTAGAACAATAGTAACTCTGTAGACTCAAGGTTACTGGACTGAGATAGAATGTGCAGCTGCAGTTGCCTTTGCATAAGACGTTTCACAATAATTAGTTGTTTCTCTTAAATTATTTAATCAAAATCAGTTACAATATTAAGAGTTGGTTTTAGTAAAGATCCTTCACATAACCATAGATACAGATTCCGAAGTAGTTATAGATCCACTCATATACAAAAAAATCCACCATAAGTATTAGAAGAAGAGATTCAAACCAGTTTCAGACAGTAAAAGCAGCACCCCACCCCCCACTCCCCCCCAACCATTACAGGGAGAAATGAATCATAGGTACAGAAATTAGCTGACATTGGAATGTGGATTGAATGACATTGAGACACAGCTTGTTAGCTAAAGAATTCTAACATTAGGTGTAACCACATTATTTTGTTGGAACTGATAAAAAAAATCAATATTCTTTTGTATTTCCTGTAATGAGGGATTTAAAAAAGTCCTGAAGTGATAGGCAAGTCTCCAATTAATTGTCAGTTAACATAGTGCAGCTGGCAAATGTTACTTGAATACAGTATCCAATGTGAAAAGCCTCAAGAAGGGAGGTAAGAGTGTCTGGGAAACATAATGAAGGACCTGGGGATAGACCCATAAGACTGTCCATCTCTTTGTCATTCAGTGATATGATTGGCTTAATTGGAAATACACTGAAATTGCCGAGGCAAGCATGAATTGTATAAGACGCTGTACCAGAGAGTCAGTTACAAAGGGGTAACTCAGCATCATTGACTGATAGTAAACAAGGGGGAGGGGGGAGGCGGGTCCAGGCGTGTGCACGCTAAGCTTGAACTGTATAAGCTAAGACATTCCAAAACGCTTCATGTGCTTTATTGCTCTGGGGAATGAAGCTGTACTGAAAATAAAGCTGCAATAAAAGTTATCTGAAACCATGCTGTGACTCAGATCCTCATTGGAAAATATCAGGTCTAACAGAAGGGCGGCATGGTGGTTCAGTAGTTAGTACCGCTGCCTCACAGCACCAGGGACCCGGGTTCAATTCCACCTCGGGCGACTGTCTGTGTGGAGTTTGCACATTCTCCCACAGTCCAAAGATGTGCAGGCTAGGTGGATTGGCCATTCTAAATTGCCCATAGTGTTCAGGGATGTGTAGATTAGGTGGGTTGTAGGGGGATGGTTTGGGTGGGTGCTCTAAAGGGTCGGTGTGGACTTGTTGAGCCAAAGGGCCTGTTTCCACACTGCAGGGATTCTATGATGATAGCCTGACACCTGATAAAGGGCGCACTGTCTTTCATGTAATTCAAATCTTAATTAATGTAATTTTCAAAAAGACAGAGTCAGGAATTTTCAAACTGCAGCTGATTAAATTCATTGTACACCATGGAAATATAAATCCATCAAATTCATTGTGAGGCATTTGCATCTCAGTGTTTTTATAGGTTAAGATACCTCACACTATCACAAGACAAATGCAGTGTACAATGTAGTGCTGAATCATCCAAAGCCAGTTTAGCGTCCCACCTGTATAAAATCAGTTAACGGCAACTAGTCATTGACTGGAGGAATGCAATTAGTCTCGGGGGCCCGGGTAGCAAAGGGATAAAAGATCTTCCAAAAGTCTCACCCATGATCAAAATCCATTAAGTTCTTGCCTTACAATGTGAGCTATTGTGCGTGAAAATGAACAACATGATTGGACTGATATGAGCTTACTTGCACATGCGTGCTTGCGCATACATACACATCGACGCGCATACAGGAGAAGAATAGGAGGAGTTAAATGTTATTTAAATAGAGAAAGACTGAAGACATCTGCAAAACAGAGTGATTTGGGAGTCCTCATTCACGAATCACATAAACCCAGCATCCAAGTCCAATCGGGAAGGCAAATGGAATGCTGGCTTTTATTTTGAAAGGAATGGAGCATAAAAGTAAAGAGGTTTTGTTGAAACTATACAAGGCATGAATAAAACCACAGTTGGAATACCATGAACAATTCTGGGTCCTTATTTAAGAAAGATTCACAGGTATTGGAGTAAGTCCAACCAAGATCCACTAGGCTGACAACGGGTACACAGTTATTATCATGTGAGAAGAGGTTAAGTGGGTTGGGCTTGTACTCATTGGGATTTAAAAGAATAAGAGGCGACTTATAGAATCATACAATCCTTGTCATGTGGAAGCAGGTCATTTGACTCATTGAGTCCACATCAGCCTCTCTGAACAGCATCCCACCAGATCCATCTCCCTACCCAATGGCTAATCCACCTAGCCTGCACATCTCTGGACTCAATGCCAACTCCAATCTTTAACTTTCCTGCCTTTTCCCCATAACCTTAATTAAAGATTTATCTCAGTCTTGAATCTACCAATGACCCTGCATCAATAGCCCTTTGTGGTAAAGAATTCCACAAATTCACTGCCCTCAGAGAAAAAATTCCACCTCATCTCTGTCTTAAATGTGCGAACCATTATTCTGAAATTTTGCCCTAGGTCCAAGACTCTCTCACAAGAGGAAACAATGTCTTTGCATCTACCCTGTCAAGTCCTCCAAGAATTATGTTAAGATTCAAGACCTATTGAAATACACAGGATTCTTAGGGGACTTGACAGGGTAGGTGCTGAAAGGTTGTTTCCCCTTGTGGGAGCTTCTGGGACTGGAGGGCAGAATCTCAGAGGATCACCTTCATAAGACAGAGAATGAGGAGGAATTTATTTTCTGAGAATACTAAATCTGTGGAATTCTTTATTGCAGAGGGCTTTTGAGGTCATTAAATATGTTCAAGGCTGAGACAGAGAGATCTTTAATCAGTAAGGGAATCAAGAGTCATCGGGAAAAGGCATGAAAATGGTGCTGATGTTGATCAAATCAACCCCAGTCTCATTGAATGATGGAGCAGATTAGATAGGCTGAATGGCCTACTTCTGCTCCCATGTTTTATAGTATTAACAACAGGAGTAAGGGAAATTCCAAAACCTGACAGGTTTTCACAAAATATATATACGTATATTTTCCACTGAATTTTTCGTATGTTAGCCCTGCTTCGAAAAGGCTCACAGTAGTTGCAAAATTTCACTTTCCATTTATCAGCACTGATATCTACCAACAAAAACAACTGAAATAAAATGAGATAACGCAGTGTGGAGCTGGAGGAACACACCAGGCCAGGCAGCATCAGAGGAGCGGGAAAGTTGACACTTCAGGTCAGGACCTTCCTTCATCGGCAGTTCTTACTATCTCTGAAACAAAATGATGTAGGTGATCCATTCACTCCAACTTTATAGCTGTTTGCTATTATTGATCACTGTAAGTTATTTACATTTTCAGATCCATCTAATTTTCTTGCATATCCTTTTAAGCAATTAAGCTGGTGGATAAAGATGCAGAACTCAGTCATGAAAAGTTTTCTGTTTCTTGCATCAGCACCAAGTCTCAAGTATAATGCTCTTCAATTGATAGTTCCTCTTTTACATTGTGATACTCCCATATCTGCATGCACCAGTCTCATCTCCTCTGGGAGAATCTGCCAACTATTGCTGGGTTACTAGTAGTTTGACCTTTGTGAGCTTCTTCATCTTACTGAACCTCACTTCACCGAGGACCCTTATGATTGCTGAAGACTTTTTCTTTTATTCATTCACAGGATATGACTAGAACAGCATTTATTTTCATTCCCCAATTGCCCAGGCGGCAGATAAGAGTTACATGTAGACCAGTTCAGTTAAAGTTGGCAGATTAATTTCCTAAAAGGCATTAGTGAACCAGATGACCTCTTCCTGACAATTGACAATAATTTCTTGTTCATCATCAGACTCCTAATTCCAGACTTTTATTGAATTCAGATTCCACTGTCTGCAGGATTTGAACCCAAGTCCACAGAACATCACCTGGATCTCTGGTTTAATAGTGTAGCAATAATACCATGAGGCCATCACCTCCTCCTAGATGACCTTGAGGATATCTTCTGCAATAACCGAAACATTCTGTCCTCTGGTATATATTAGCATGACTTTTATTATCAGATTGGTCAGACATGAACAATGTTAGCTCCTTCTGAATGGTCAACATAGTTAAAAGAATAGAAATCCCCATCACAAGAAAACCTGTCTAGATTTTCCTATACTCTAATTATTTATGCAGTTTAAACTCCAATGTATAGATTGGGCTGCTGCTGGAGTCTACAAATATGAAGGTGAGTTTTAAAGAATTCAAGCAGTAAAGTGCAAAACACTTTCTCCACCCTCACCCATTGCAGTGAAAGGTAAAACTTTGGCTCTTGAAATGCACTACAAGATTACTAGTTGTAGAGGGTACACAGGGAAAATGCAATTTTACCCTTTTAAAGAGTCACAAATTGCAAAGCTGTGAACACAATGAGCTAAACTACCTTGCAACGTATTGACAATGAATGGCAGTAACTCTAAATTTTCTTCAACCATTTGTTTACATTGCATATGAAATGAAACAAGGGTGTTTAAACATTCTCTGAATGGTTGGTCTCTGAAAGCATGTTGATGTTTGAGGTACCATTGCAGTGAGGACAAGGAAGAGTTCTCTCAGTGGTACATCAGGCTACAAAAGAGCAAAGGGAGAGTCAATCAAAGCTCTGAGAATGAATAAATACTCTCTGTAGCAGAGCTGGCTACAGTCACAGAAGTTGGGGAAACAAAAATAACCAAACTATCTCATATTCTTCTCAATAATTATGGAGAGGTGTAACACTGGCTTCCAGTGGGGAATTTGCAAGTGATTTTCAACATTTTTATGCTAAAACAAACTAGTGAATGCAAATGGGCGGGATGAGGTTAGTCAGTAGGAGATGGGGGTGCGGCTTGAGGTGGGAGGAGGGGATAGGTGGGAGAAAGAACAGGTTAGGGAGGCGGGGACGAGCTGGACTGGTTTTGGGATGTGGTAGGGGGAGGAGAGATTTTGAAGCTTGTGAAATCCACATTGATACCATTGGGCTGCAGGGTTCCCAAGCGGAATATGAGTTGCTGTTCCTGCAACCCTCGGGTGGCATCGTTGTGGCACTGCAGGAGGCCCAGGATGGACATGTCGTCTGAGGAATGGGAGGGGGAGTTGAAATGGTTCGCGACTGGGAGGTGCAGTTGTTTATTGCGAACCGAGCGTAGGTGTTCTGCAAAGCGGTCCCCGAGCCTCCGCTTGGTTTCCCCGATGTAGAGGAGGCCGCAACGGGTACAGCAGATGCAGTATACCACATTGGCAGATGTGCAGGTGAACATCTCCATCCCCGCCTCTTCGACCTGTTTGTTTCCTCTCCACCTATCCTCTCCTCTATCCGCCTCCCACTCTCTCCCTATTTATTTCAGAACCCCCTTCCCCTCTCCCTTTTCTGATGAAGGGTCTAGGCCTGAAACGTCAGCCTTTCTGCTCCTATGATGCTGCTTGGCCTGCTGTGTTCATCCAGCCCTGCACCTTGTTGTCTCGGATTCTCCAGCATCTGCAGTCCCTACTATCTAGTGAATGCAAATTCTCGCTAACTCCAATTATTGAAAGCTATGACTTTTGCAGCTTCATCCTCTTTCAACAGATCAACAGGGTATAAAGTTACCTCTTTGTACACACCCAATGCATTGTTGTAAGTTTAGAAACAGATGAAAGACTCAGAACACCACAATAATTTGATTCCGATACATCTGAGAAGTTTGGGAAGCCTCCAAGCTTTTCTGCAGTTTATTTGCTACAGTCTTCGCAATATATTTTGACTTTCTCCCAGTGACAGCTGCATTGTACATTATTACGGAACTTGTCAGTCTCATGGCATCTGAGATTTTCCTGACTTTGACATCAATTCATCTTGCCTCCCATATTTATAATGACTGAGCAGTAGGCATCAGCCTACTTCTGTACTCTGTGATTATGGAAGATAAAAAGGAGCAGGAAAAACTCAATTCTGGCAATTGCACCTACAAAAAACAGATGGCCGCACATCTGGTTATCCAGATGGGCACAATATAAATGTTTGGCTGAATTCCAAGGACTTGCTAATGGATTACATGTTTACACAGACTGAAATAAAGTATTAGTTTTGATTGATAGAAATCTTTAAAAGGTTCCAACAAGTTACTCTTACTTTGTTTTTTTTTCCAATGTCTGTACATGTATTTGGATGAGATTAAGAATTGTGAAGTAGAGTAAAACTTCTATCATTGACATTACGAGTGGCATTGACTGACTGATGCTTTCAACAAGCTGTATGAGCAGCAGTCTTTTCCAAAGCAGATTTCTTAATATGTAGTTATTTTTCATGAGCATTTCAAGACTTTTTAAATCAGATTTGTGTCTTGCATTGGTTCTGAACATACTGCATTACTGGCTGAGCAGGCATTTTCGTAATTTCAAATAATTCCCAAGTACGGTTCACGACTTCTCCAAGGGGCTGTACACCATGAGTCCTCAAGAAGCTGGCCATTCTCCACAAAATTTGAAGGGTTTGGGGTTGCAGTGTTTCGGGGGGGGACAAAATGAGATTCCTATTCCCACAGTAGAACAGTCCGAGTCAGGAATTCAGGATTAAAGTGCCCTTCCCACACATAGCTTTAACCTGGGCCAGCAAAAATTGTCAGAGCCCTGAACCGAGATGAGAATCCTACAACTGAGTCATGCCCACCATCTTTAAAAGACCTGCAAAGACACTTGTCTCCATGAAAATCCAACCCATTTTTGCCACTGTATCCACTTTATCAACACCGCTCATAATCATGAAGATGTCTGTTAGGTTACCCCCTCAGTCATCTTTCAAGATCAACAACATCAAAGGCTACAGAAAATACTGAAGAGAATGACAAACCTTAATGCACCTTGTCACATAATAACACCAATGATCTCATTCAGTATTGGGCTTGGTGCTGTGGGTAGGGTGGAAGACACAAATAAAGGATTCACCAGACATTGACATATGTACATCATTGGTTCTTGACGTGACATACCTGGACCCAGTATGCAGCAGCAAGCAAATGGGAGGCTTAGCAATCTTAAGGATTGCAAATGTTTTAGTCTGTAGTGAACCCTCAAATGGTTCTCCCCACGTCTGCTGCCTTTGCCCATGATTACTTATCCGAACATCAATCCCCAGGCATATCTTAACTTAGTGCTAATTACAGCTGAAACTCAATCCTACTAACCAGGTCAGTTCAAATGCATTCAGCACTGCTTACCCAAAAAAAAGGGTAGTGTTATGGACTAATGTTAATAATTATTGATTTCACCCCAAAACCTAGCAAGGTTTTTCACTGATATAACAAGGTGTAGAACTACACGAACACAGCAGGCCAAGCAGCATCAGAGAAGCAGAAAAGCTAACGTTTCGGGTCTGGACCGTTCTTCAGAAAAGGTCCAAACCCGAAACGTCAGCTTTCCTGCTTCTCTGATGCTGCTTGGCCTCCTGTGTTCATCCAGCTCTACACCTTGTTATCTCAGATTCTCCAGCATCGGCAGTTCTTACTATCTCTGAAAGGTTTTTCACTTTTAAATTTTCTCACCCTTTTTGATATTAATGTAAAAAAAAACACATTCCAAAAGATAGTTTCTTTTTATATCAGTTATATAAAGTCACTGATCCTTAAGTTTCAAAAATTTACTATGTAATTGCCAAGAATCAAATTTAGGAAACAATATTCTCTTTTGTAGCAGGAAGAAGGCAAAACTAATGGGTTTTATATCTATGGCAGTTAAAAGCTTTTCTTTGCTCTGTTCCCTCATCAATTGCAGAGTGTGGAAGCTGATACCATAAGTACAGCTCACTTCTACCTGGATTGCAAAATACATCATATTCCACACCAAATTCCATCTATCCAACATCCCAATCTTCACTGACACACCTCCGCTCCACAACTACCTCATACTTAAAATCAGAATCCGTGTGTTTACATCCTCTCCCCATCTGAGCTCCAGCAATCAGGCCTTTAGTGGAATCTCAGACCCTTCTTTTCTGTCACTGGCAGCTATACCACCCGAGTCTTGATTCTGGAATTCTTTCCTAAAGTCACCATGCCTCTTCATATCTATCTTGTTTGAGACTCTACTTAACATACACATCAGTCAGCTTTTCGTGAGCTGTCCCAATACAGTGTTATTCGACTCAGCATTCACTTTTTAAAAACAAATGACTACACCCTACTAAAATTTTCTGTTTTTTTCCCCCCAACATGCATGGTGATATCTAAATGGAAGTCAGCATTATTGGTATATAAATCTTTCAAAGAGTAACTGAAATACATGTTAAAACAAAGGGAGGATAAGTCAACGATTATTAACCGTCTTTTGACCAATAAATCAGAATGTAGGAATACTGCCACACTGAGCAAAGACTTCAAACAAAATTGTCCAAATCCGCTGTCCAAGACTGAAAGCTACAAAGTTCAGATTGAAAATCTGGTTATCCCACATTCCTTATGATAATTTTGCAGAGAGGAAAAAAAAGCCTTTGTAATGTAAACGGAACTTTGATACCATAGGGCTGTTCAGCAAGTGGTTACTTGTGTGAAGCATTCTCGGGGCCATAAACGCCAGATTCTTGAAAATATTGTCGAACCACTAGAAAGAAGTGAAGTGCACAACAATGGCTCTATTAAAATGGAAGAAAAATTAAAGGCGTACATTCATTAACAATAGAATCTTGTGGGGTGGCGGCAGTCGAAGGTAGGAATGAAAGGCACAAAGGATTTTTTTTTCTTTTTTCTCCAACAAAAAAGACTACCAAAGAGAGTGAGATGAGGTCAAACCGATTCAAGAAGTTGAGAGAAATACAAAGGTTTGCATTGAGGGATTCCCTTCAAGATTACAATTCAAGTTTGATTTGGGAAGGAGAGAAAGGATGACAAAAAATGTTATCAAGAGCTTACAAAAGGTATGGGTCCTGGAGCGATGATAAACCTGTGGGGAAAACGGAGAACTAAAACACCCCACCCCTTTCCAATGAAGCCGCTCTCTGTCTCGTGTTGTGCCCTCGTGAACCTTGTTCTCCCGCGCCCCTGTCAAATGTCGTCAAGAAACTTTTTTTTTTGGCAGCAGCAAGTTACAAAAAAAAATCCCGTACTCCCCGCTAAAGAAAAGGTAAACTCACCTTTACAGAAGACTCAGGAAGAGAGAGAGAAACCTACTCGACATTCAACTTCAATATAAATCCCTGCTGCTTGTGCAAAATGAAAACAAAACAACAAAAGCTGTCCAGTCCTTGTTTTAGAAACTCTCTCAGTCAGTTTTGCATTCTGTCACTGGCAACGCGGCGCTGAAAGTCGGGGAGGAGAATGTAAGGTGAGAGAGATTCCAAACCATCCCCCGAAGGCATGAAGATTTTCACTGACTTCCTGCCAACAAAGGTATGCCTTCTGTAAATCCCGGAACCTTTGAGCTGCACAACACAAGTTCTCCAAAATGTAAAGTGATGTTAAGTGAATCTTCATCTTTCCCCATCCCCAGAAAGTGTTCTTTTATGTTTGAGTTAGGAGTATTGCAGTACAGGTCAGGTGTGACATGCAAAGTCCGTTCACAGATCAGTAGGTTAAATGCAACTGTGTACGGTATGGTTCAAACCAGTTTAAAAAACACACAGTAGTACATGGAATTGAACATACGAGATCATAGAATCCATACAGCGTGGAAGCAGTCCATCCGGCCCATCGAGTTCACACTGATCCTGCAAAGAATATTCCATCCAGACCCACCCCATCCCTGTAACCCTGTATCTCCCATGGCTAATCCACCTAACCGACACATCCATGGACACTGTAGACTATTTACCATCACTAATCCACCCAACCTATGCAACTTTTGACTATTGGAGGAAACCAGAGCACCTGGAGGTAAGCCACGAAGACAATGTGCAAACTTCATGCAGTTACCTGAGGGTCCCTAGCGCTGTGAGGCAGCAGTACTAACCACTGAGCCACTGTGCTGCCCTGTGATGAGGTGGACCAGCATGTCTCATTTGCCAGTTTTACTACGTTTTCCCTTTTGGAAGAATTTTTTTTTGTTTGAAGGACACCTTTCCAAATGAATCGGTAATTGTCAATCCCGATATGAAAATGTTGCATGTAAATAGTGTCTTGTTAATGCTTTATTAAAGTGTTTACTAACGATATTGAGTAGATGGGTGTACCCTTGGCAGGAATGTTGAGAATTAATCGCAGAGATGAACATAGATTTGATACCGGGGGAGAGTAGGAATGATTGGGAAAACACATCATTTTGAGTGATCAGTCAGTGCTAGATCAGTTATTAATTTTAAACCTGAGGTAGGTAATTGAAATAACTGCATAGAGGCTGGTATCCCATTACCAAGTCACCATGTGCACAGTATATGAATGTTGACAAACCAGCTCACTGCCAGTCCCTGGAGTGAGGAGAATCTCTAAGACGCCTGTTCATTTTTTTTTCTTGCCCCCACACTACCACTGTACAGCAGTAGTGCCTATTTTTCTCCACAATCAGTGTTGTGTGTGTATATGTGCAGTGATTCAGTAATGACAGAACGTGCAAATAATTTTGTTCAGTATTTCCACCACCAGGAAAACACCCATATGGCCAGTGAACCAGTAACAAGCAAAGCCTGATAAGGGCAATGCTTACGTGGATAATTTGAAGGGGGAGGTAGGGATTAAATCAAAATAGAATTGGAGGGGAGAGACTTCTGTTCATATGTGTCAGCTAGGACTCCCTGATTGGAACCTGGGCCAGTCAGGAATCTAATACGTATAAGCTGACAATTTCCCAGCTACCATCAGTTCTGAGTAAGGGTCACTGGACCCGAAACGTTAACTCTGATTTGTTTTTCTTCACAGATGCTGCCAGACCTGCTGACCTTTTCCAGCAACTTCTCTTTTTGTTCCTGATTTATAGCATCCACAGTCCTTTTGGTTTTTATCTAATACGCGATGGGATCCACCTGGCCAACTTTGTTCCAATCACTACATCAAGGTTTTGTTTAGCAAAAGTATTAAGGGAAATGGGCTAAAGGGAGGTCTATAGAGTTAGACCACAGAATAGCCATGATCTCATTGAATGTTGGAACAGGCTCAAGGGGCTGAATGGCACACTCTTATTCCTAAGAGAGTGGGACTGTGGCAAGAACAAGAGCATGGTGAGGTGGGAGTAAAGCACACTTTGAGCTGCTGCTCAAAACTTACTGTTGACCATTGTGCTAGTAGTTACCTAAGTCACCTGGTAAAAGGTAGACACTGTGTTGCTTACCCCAGTTTGAGGATCACTCCTGTAGAGTGCCTCACTCTCTAATCAAATCAGATTGCATCTTTTATTTTCTTTATTCATTCTTGGGATGAGGGATTTGCTGGCTGGTCAGTATTTATTGCCCAGAGGGCAGTTAAGAGTCAACCACGTTGCTGTGGGTCTGGAGTCACTTTAGGCCAGGCCAGGTAAGGATGGCAGTAATGAACCAGATGGCTTTTCCCCCAACAATCGACAATGGATTTGTGGTCATCATTAGACTCATATTTCAGATTTCTTTTATTGAATTCAAATTTCACCATCTGCTGCAGTGAGATTGAACATGGGTCCCCTAGAACATTATCCTGGCCTCTGGTTTATCAGGCCGGTGAAAATCCCACTAGGCCATCACCACCCACCCCTGGTAATCTACATTTACACTGCATTGAAACATTTTCTGAATCAGTCGCAGGTATTTTACGCCAGCCTCAGCGGTGCAGCTTTTTAATCCCTTTCTTTCTCTTGCATGACCTGTCAACTGAACTTTAATTTAATGCCCCTGTCTACGAACAAATTGGTTGCTCAGATGAGTTATGGCAGACTGTCATTACAGCTTGTGATTCCACTGCCACGTGACAATAGGCGGAATTTTCCCATCTGAAGTTAGAGAATGGAAGCAAGCATGTTGGATGCCATTGTATCTGCCATGGGCTTGGGTGAGTTATCCATGCAAGTGAAATGATGTATGTGTTACTTGGTGAAGAGAGTGCCAGGTGAGCCGGAAGTTCTCGTGGCTGTCTCAGTACCACAGAAGAAGAGTTACCTCAGTCATTTAGTATGAGGTAGATGCAGATCTATGAGAAAAGTAAGACAGATTTTGTTTTATATAGTGTGTTATTAGAGGCAGGCCTGAGCCCTGAGCTTCTGACATCCTTCTCAATAAAGTGTAACATTATGCTCATAGAAGGTGGTGCTTCTGAATGACTGTAATGTTTTGATAAAGGATGTGGAATGCTGTGTAATTTACATGTGGGTGCTTGACACACTGCTGCATTTGCTCCTTGTATAAGTCAGCTGGCAGGAGCCACCCCCCAACTCCTCCTGAAAATGCCCCACCTCCAGCATTTCACCCAGTGGTAAAAACTGCACGCCTTCTGTCATGAGTCAGGGAATGGTAGCAGTAATATGGAGGCTTCAAATCCTTGGGATTCTGTGGCTTTGGCCTTTTGAGAAGATGAGGTCAGCATTTTGATACATTGAGAACTGTTGAACTGACACATCACAAAATGTCAGTCAGGGGCACAGTATACTCCTACTAAAGAGTTCTTCATGATTGAAGGTCTGCATTAGGTTGTTCGAAGAATGTTGACTTCTAGTTTGAAAGGTAAATGACTATGTCTAATCATTTATATAATTATGAATGCATTGGTCCCTTAGAAGAGCTCACGTTGCAGTCCAAACCCTTTGAAAAAGAAACATTGCTTACTTCTCCCACTTTGCAAGTGGTTTGTTTCAATTTCAGACCTTCCAAGGCATTTGATTCCTGGAACAATATGGTGAGGTTTCAACTTTGAGAGTGCATGAGTGACCTATTGGCTCTGCCTGTGACCCATAATCTTCTGCTCGTTCAACATGTTTCACTTTCCGTTACCATCGCTGACTCCACTTATCCTTCCCTTCCCCTGTTTCAGTTGAGTCCCTTTACGCTGCTATTGATGTGCCCTGTTTTCTCCCAGCCCTGATTGCTTGAGAGTTCTAAATCCTTGCTGGCTCTGCACCCCTCCCCATTTTAACGCCAGAGTGACCATGACTTGCCTTGATTCCCCCTTCCAGACCATGCAGTCCACTTCACAACACTGACAAGTCGCATTCTAATATCTGCAGAGATAGTAGGAACTGCCGATGCTGGAGAATCTGAGACAACAAGGTGTAGAGCTGGATGAACACAGCAGGCCTGCTTGTGTTCATCCAGCTCTACACCTTGTTGTTTCTAATATCTGCAGTTTGTGTTATTCATTCAAGGGATGGGGGCATCATTGGCAGGGCCAGTGTTTAGTCACCCATCCCATTTGCCCTTGAGAAGGTAATGGTGAGCTGCCTTTCTGAACTCCTGCTGCCCATGTGGTGTAGATGCACCTATAATGCCATTAAGGAAGAAGTTCCAGATTTTGCCCTAGTGACCAAGTCAGGATGACAGGAGGCTTACAGAGGAACTTGCAGGTGGTGGTGTTCCCAGATGAACTGGAACCAAGGGGTTGGTTACAAATGAAGTTGATTGGTGTGGTCTAATGTCCAATTATCATTGACAAAGGTCCTCTGCCTGCCAACAGCTATATGATTAGTCATCAGCTTGCTGAACAGTCAGAGTTGTAACCAAGGCAGAGGGAAGCTAGTTCAGTGCAGAAGAGAAACCAATAGGTCTGCTGCAGCCAAAAACTCACTCTCTCAGTTCTCTACAGTAAACCACTTTAAACTCAGAGAAAACCAGCCTATATCTCCTTCAGCAGATGATACAAGTTGTGATTTTTGAATCGGATAAGTCAGAGACCTTTCCTAAGTGAACCAGCCACCTGTGTCTCTTGCAAACCAGTGGAAGCATTCAGAAAAAAGAGAAACCTTTAGACCAGTAAGAACTAACCCAACAGATCTGGGGAACAAAGACCATCAAACTATTTTTCCAGTTTTCTCTCCACCCACATGTTTTTTTATCTCCTTTATGATTATCTGTCTGTGTGAAAAAGGGTGAGCGTATAAGGGGTTTACAGTTTTAATCTGTAGAGTTTACTTAATGTAGTTTGTTTACCTGTAGTTAGAATCTTTCATAAGTCATGATCCTTGTTCAGTACAGGAACCTGGTCTGTTTTTCCTACCAGCCTGTGTCTGAAAATAAGGTAGTTTGGGGTTTCTGCATAATTCTTTCGAAAACTTTAACATTTTGTGACAACCCTGGGAATCATAGGGCTTGATTTCTGGTGTGCTACTCCCAGTGAGTCATGACAGCAGGCAATGAGAAATGTTTGTGAAGATGGTGTCAGGAATCTCACGGGGCCTAATGGAGAGAAACCCTCCATGAAACTCCGCAAAATCGAACACTGGCTGAATGTAACCAAAAACTGGGTATGTGCCAATATACCAGGGAATGGCAGGACAATGGCA